AAAAAAAAAAAAATCTCAGTAAGGACTCAGCCACTGATTTGAAAAAGAGAACATTTCAGATGAATGTCACACCGATTATGAGGAAAAATAGAAGTTGTGTTGCCAGTATTGCAAAGAGGGATAAGAGACTAATGCTCTGGACGAAGTAGAAGAAATGTGATGGCCATATTTCCTGCAATTCCGTTGCCATAAATAATATTAAAATAGCTAAGAGGGGCGAGAAAATTTTCCTTTCATTCTTTCCCAAAACTTGAGTAAATGACACCCATATGACCGTGAAATTCGTAGAAATAAGAAATGCTAACAAGGAAAGAACGCAGATAATCCATGCTCTCAAGAAATGCTTGATATGGTACAGGTTCTCAAAAAGTGCTACAACAAGGTGAATATTGAAGTCCTGGCACCCAGTAAACATTTATCCTCAGTTTCTTTAGATGGTTATGTGGTTTAAAATTCTCAAGCACCTTCTCATCCAAAAGTTGAGATCTACAATTTGCTTGAAATCTTCCCAAATACAAAGGATGAAAATTAATGTTAGTTTCATTTTCAAATGAGTTAGAGCAGTGGTTTCTGCAAGTTAACTCATCTTTTTGTGAAGAAATTATTAAGTGGGGAATCCGAACATAGCTCACATCTAGGCTCCAATGACATGAAACCACGTGATCTGTACACACCCTGCATACAATTTGTACACAAGGTGTGTATAAGTAGAATTTACACACCCTTCATAAATCTAGCAAATTAGACCTCGAAGAAGTCAAATCATTGTAGTGCCTTCCATATTCTTTGTCCTTCACTTCCATCAAGTTCATCAAGTTCATAAAAGTATTCTGTTCCAAAAACAACCATACCTCCCTCCAACTTTGTTTTCCTGAAAATTTTCCAAAAAGCCCAATTTTCATTGATGTAAAAAGACTATTTACATGTGTAAGAAAGAAGAGAATAAAAACAAAATTGTGGTGTGGAGCCACTACCAGAGGCTAAAAATGCTCACCAAAATGGTGCAAAAATAAAGTTACACATGTCAAAAAGTGATCAAAAGAGAAAAACAGCCATTTAATGCAGTGAAAGATCAGCCACAAGAAGACTAAAGAATAGAGCTTAGGGAAGATAGAGGTTGCATCCAGGTAGCCACAAACCGTCCCCAGTTGCGGAATTGCCATTCAATAGAAGCTGAATAAAAACCGTCGTCCTGGGGGGATAAGGAATGCAACCCATTCAAAAGGAACTTGCCAAAAAAAGATTTATTGACCAAACCTTAAAATAAATTATTCAAATATCCTTCAGTCTCATCTCCATTCCAGGGCAACTGAATGAAATCCGATGCAATCCATATTCAGACCAAATCATCTTTATGAAACTTATGATCTTGTCCGAATGGGCTACAAAATGCAAAAGAAAAAAAAATGTAAATACTTTGTGAGTAATATATAACACAATCGTAATATAGCAATATAGCATTCTGACCCAGTTCTTCACATCCAAAATCTTTGTTTAAAACTTCTATAAAATGCTTTTCATCAAAAGCTTAAATTCAAAACTGCACCGATGACCTTTACTGTCAATAGAGATCCATAAATCTTCTTTAACTCACTCCAGTTTTGGATTTCTATGATAAGTAATTTAAAGTAAAATAAATCCCCATTGAGGCCCCCTTTCTCCTTGCCTGCAGCCCACTGAGTTAAAAAAATCTTACTTTCCAAACATCTATAAGCCAAAGGGACGAGCACATTTTCCTATTTGATTTTGTCATACCTGCAAATGTAATCCAGGATAAGAAATTATTGGATATAACCTCAGTCATACAACTCCCTTGATGTGCATCAAAGTGATTCCAAAACAGGCCTATTTTTTAAAGAGATTCCAACATAACTGTAATGATATTTCTCCCATCAAGTTTTTGGAAAAACAAATCTACATTTTAAGATTAAATTCCTGTCATTTCATCTTCATAGACATGATGCAAGAGAGTTGTTTTCCCCATACCGTGAAGGCCCAACATAGCAAGAAGAGAAATGTTGCTGACCATAATAGTTCTGATAATGAGCATGATGTTCATTTGACGGCTCTCTGTTGGGGATGAGGAGTGAACACCACAATAGAGAAACAAGCAAGAAAGTAAAAGCAGCCAAAGACATGCAATTGAGATTAACCAAATAATTCAATCCAAATTCAAGACAAAAATAGATGCTAGGTACTCATAACATAACCTAACGCTTAACAACAAGAGGTTCACCTTGATGACCTTCACTCATGTACTCTCTGGGGTTTAGCGGCGGAAGGCGAGTCAAATGAAGAAGGATATTACCACTAGGAAGATGGTGCCGAAGGTCTTTGTTGATGGAGAAGTAGCCACGGACGAAGTAGTGGTTCTCCCAACGAGAAGCCAAGGCGTCTTGGGTTTTTCAAGATTGATCGTCTCCGCTAAGCAGTAGAGGATGCACTTGACGTATCTTTCCACAGTCTCGTCGTATTCCCAATCAAGATCTTAGAAGGGGGAAAGAAGGATGTCGATCTCCCCACGATCATTGTAGGCGAATTCGTGATCAACCTCAGGATCGGCCATGCATCATGAGCATGAGGAGGAGGGAACACAAGAAGGAAGAAGGAGAGAAATGGCGGTGGAGAGAGAGGCCGGCGGCTTGAGTAGAAGGTAGAGGGGCTGGCGGCTTGAAGGGATGGAGAGGGGGCTAGGGTTTGAAAGAACTTAGGCTAAATTAGTATGGAAGTGTTCTAATCCAAAATCTAAAAATAATTTCAGGTTTTGAGTAAAAGTGGAGGGAATTAATTTGAATTTTGATTTCAAAAGGGCCTTGAAAGAGCATTAATGGGGAGGTACCCAAGCAAGGGGCCGGCGACATGGAGAGGGAGGGAGAGAGGTTTTGTGGGGGAAATTTAAATCAACTTCCTAATTGGCCTTTTCAATTTAGGAGAAGAAAAATTCCATCCAAATTAATTTTGAAATTAAATTTGAATGTGAATCAAAACTTTCCTAAAATAGTTTTCTAATTTAGGAAACTAATTTGAAATTCAAAATTTGAATTTCAAATGATTAGAATAACTTCCTAAATCGTTTAAGCTCTTTAGGCAAGTATTAAGGAGACATTAAATCCTCATTCATGAAAGAAGACAAGGATGGCCGGCGGTGGATTTGGGCTTGGGTGGGGACGGGTGGAGCCAATGGGGGAAAAGGGGCGGGTTGGTGGAGAGGTTGATGGTGGGCTTGGGGAGGTGGGGTTATGTGGTGAGCTTGGTGATGGGCATGGCCGGTGGTGGAAGTTATGGAGGTCGGCGGGTGGAGATGAGAAAAAAGGAGGAGACGAAGAAGATAAATTGAAAACCACGAGTCGAGGACTCTTCCAAGTACTAGTGGGCCTTGCACTTGCTCACCTTGAGCTCTCCCCCTTCTCTCTAATGCTCACATAAGAAGAAGTAGACCTAAAGAAAATTATATTAATCATTCGTCAAATAAATTACAACATATTTGACCACTCTATATAGGTCTCCACTCATGAAAAGAAAAGTACCAAACTGCCCTCTAGGCTACAATAACATGACAGTTCCCCAAAGGGGTAAAAATGGAAAAACGGTCAAACTAAACAACATATCATGAAAGATGAGTCAAAAGTAGAGGCGCTAAATCGTGGCCGTAGATCTGTGATTCCTTCGTCGATAAACATGTCTGTAGTGCCTGTCGATGTCCTCATCAGAAAGTTATCTTCACAGCGAGCGAGCTCCTGTCGTCGCTTCCAATCAAAATGTTGTAACTTCCGATCCAACAAGAAGGAACCATCGTCAAAGGAGCGAATTCAAACAACAATGAAGGAGGCCGAAGAAGTGACTCATGCAATCTCTACACCTGCGAAGCAACGAAGCCGAACAGCAACAACCTAAAAGCAAAAGCAAATGCTAGACGCCTCTAACTTATTATTGATCATAATTAATAGTATAATTAGTGCATAAGCTTATTATCTAATTTGTCTTAATTAAGTAGTTAGTAATATAATTTAGCAAGAAATTTTATTCAAATATTTCAGTTTTTCTCTCATTAATCAATAATTAAGTATATCAAAACATTATGTTAGATTTTTCATTTCAACTCAGCCATTTACATCAATTCAATTATAAAATCATTAGCCACATGTTATGATAAAAATAACAAAATGCCTGAATTTGAAACATGAAACAATATTGAAAAAAAAAAATAACCTTAGCCTACTGCATCGTTCTCTCGGTTCAAAAACGATCCCTGAAGTAGGAGGCTGCAAGAAAGTTCTCAGCCTTTCTTCCAACGCATCATTTTTTTTTTTCTTTTTTTGGAGCTAAAATCATGGCACCGAAAACTATATTAAATAAATGAAGGGGATTGCCACTTGACAGGCAGCCAAAAGGCAAACAGAACACGTCCAAAAACAAAAATTTTACAGGTAAAATAATAATTCAA